AATTGGCATTTAATCGGATTAGATTAGCATAAGACCCTAATCACCCCCCCTCTAGGGTCTAACAATAATGGCACTAGAGATTCTGTTGTACCTTGTTGGGAAACCATGAAAATTCTGATCGCCTCCTTGGACATATTTCTTTTTTCCTAATTTTCATGTTTCTAATTTTTTGTTTAAACCTTAGGTCCATAACAATCTACTTTGGCTACGAAATGTTTATTGACTTGCGGTTTTATGGTCACAACTCGCCAAATTCTATATCAAGACAAAACACAAAGTATAAGTATCTTGAGACGTGGAAAGAGATGGGGATTCAAGCCCTCTTAATTATGGGCATAGTTAAGTGCTGTGAGCCTCCAACCTTTTTTGCACGGCAAGGGGTTTTCTTTTCAATTATCTTGAAAATCTAAAGATGATAGACTAATCTTGCGAAAGACTTGAATTAAGTGACACACATTTCCAATATAATCCTTGGAACCTTGGAGACAGTGTAAAAGTTGGCATGAATGTTGGATAAGATGTGGCCAACGTCTTTAGCACCCGCTAAAAACCGTTTCTTTTTTTGGAATATTGAAAAACTCATGTAAACTTAAGTGGATTGTTCCACCTACCTTTTTGTCCATTGAATTTGCTTTGAGATGCATGCTGACGTGTGATACACATCTCAGGACCATTACACACAAACATATCAAAGTAAATCCAATGGATTAAAAATTTGATGGATAAAGTCGACAATCCATGTAAGTTTACATGAGCTTCAGTATATATGTGTGTGCATCTCTCTCTATATATGTAAGTATGTATGTATGTATGTATGTATGTATATATATATATATATATATATATATATATATATATATATATATATATATATATATATAGTAAGAGAACGAGACGAGAGGAGAGAGAGAGAGACTTAATATGATCCTTGTCATAGGATAAGCGATTTCGCTCCTTGAACGTCTCTAAAATCACATGATTGAGGGCCGAGCATCTGTCGGATGATCCGCTTCCGTTGAACTTGATCTACATATTCTAAAACCCCGCCCACACCAGAGTTTGGGTGAACCCGTCGTCGTCTCTTGACCCTTCATCCACTCGGTATTAATTTTAACGGTGGTGAGTGAGAGTAGGAACTTTTTCACATGAGCGGTCTCTGATGGTAGGGCTCAAACAAACGCATGGCGTTCACCCCAAACTTGATGTGTTGGGGTTTTTATAATATGTTTAGATCAAGTTTCAACGGAGCGGATCATTCCATTGTAATGTCGCCCTCAATCATGTGATTTTAG